GCCAATTGGCAATCTGAGGCACGTGTCCAGCTACGAGGCGCTGCTGAATGAGTGCGGCAACAACAACAACAACAACAATCAGACTGGAGATGCCGCGGATTTCAAAGCCGTTCCAGTCACGGTTGCGGGCGTCACCACAAAGGCCGAATACAATGTCATACTGCCCACATTGGCCGATCTGCTGTGCTATCAGACTCCCGCGTACATCTTTAGCTTCATCAACCGGCTGCGTCAGTCGGAGCACGTGAGGCGAGTGTTTCTCTGGGCCTCGCCCCAGCACTTGCAGCATCACCATGCGCAGTACATTCTCGCCGGCTGCGAGTATCTGGCCGAGTTGATTCTCCGCCTGGAGACGGAGACACTCCTGTCGCTGATATCGCGCAAGCCTGGCGGCGGGGTGTCCAACAAACGCTACTCGTGCCAGGTGACCAAAACGGAGTTTCAAGTGACCCCTCTGGACGGTCCAGCAACAACTGGTTCGCCCAAGCAGCCATCGCCGGAGTCTGAACAGACAGCAGAGCCGGCCAGCAGCACCTTTAAAATAGAACTGGACGAGGATGAAGTAGTGGCGCGTAACGCTCTCACATTGCCATACGAACGGTGAGGAGTAAGCCAACTCTTAGCTGTCTCTCAACTAAACATCATTGATATTTCAGCACCAGCGAGCCGGCTGAGGGCAGCATCATTTACACACCCGATGCCGACGATGACTTTGATGACGAGGATCCCGATGAGGATCTGTGCATCTAAGGTGCGCTCCAGCAGCAAACGGCAGTACAAATAGCCTTGGCTTTAAGTCTATTTAAGTCTAAACCTACTTAACACATAGAATACCTGCAAGGAGCAAGACCCGGTCCACAAACAACAGATGAATATTGAAGATTTTGCTAAGCTGAGCTGAACCACTGTGCTGGAGGTTTTGGTTCCACGAAATTGTTAAAGTAATACCGATTGATCGACGAGCGCCGGATAACTTTAGTACATGTAGAATTGCTCATTTATTTTGGATAACTTGTTGGCGTTGCATATTGATATGTGAATCAAAAATTGAATGAAACTTTATATGAATTACACACACAGAGCTTACAGAGTTTAGTAGAGCGAAAAAGAGTTAATAGTTGGCGTCCCTATCTTATGACTTAGTTGCGGAATTTGATCTAGCTAAATCTTATTTATAATGCGAATTTTTGGTTGCAAGCTCCCTACGCTACGTGTGGTTGGGGGTGCGCTGTGGCATATTCACAAAGCGGTGCGACCTTTGTTTCGTTCTTAACTTAATCTAATTCCTATTTAATATTGCAAAATGCTCTAAAAAGCGACACAAAACAAACAAAATATAAGGATCTGCACTTGGAATAGCAGCATCCCCAGTCAAGTTGGCGATTAGTATCAAGTTTACACATTTATCACAAATGAAAAAAAAAAACTATGACAAAAAAACCCTACTGGCTGGTGCATATTGAGCATAAAAATTGAGTAAATTGAGTCTAAATCTGAAGTCTGAATAGATTCCTTGCATTTTGAGAGACACTTAAAAAAGTATTTACACTAGAAAATTAATAACAAAATGAATCAATGGCAAATGGCAATACAATGGACCTAATAAAAATCGAGTGGTTCTCTCATTTGAGCAGAGCATCCACATCGCTTTTTGGATCGGCTGCCAGCGAACTCCACGCGGAGTCACTGCACAGTGGCAGCGACAGTTCTGTGCCCGCATCCACCACACAGCTCTCCCTGAGCTGAAAGAATTTACCCACCAGCCCGTCAATCCAATTGTGCAGCGGCTGTTCGGTGAGTTTTCCATTGGCCACGGCCTCCTCGCGTAGTAGGAACTGCTCATCGTCGGTGTGGAGATGCTGCTGCCACTCCACTGGCAGCTCAAAGTCGTCCGGCAGGGCTATGCCCAGGCCACCGTTGCGCTTCTCCGCTTCTGCGCTGCTCTCCAGGGGCTCACCATTTCCATAGGCCATGGGTGAAACGAGGAATTTGAGCTGAGCGTAGATTGAGTTGCGTCCAATCAGCTTCGCTGTCCATACACCAGGTGTGATTGGATGGCTGAACAGGGTTCTCGAGTGATTGATTACATCGGTGGACGAGTCCTCCACATGCAGTTCATTGAAGTCCTGCAGCCGACCCAGGGGATCGATCCACAGCAGCGTGAGGTTGTACGAGTGCGAGGCAGCACCCGAGTCTGTCGATCCCTGATACGTGTAGCTGATTACCAAGTCACTGTGTGGCCCCAGGATCTTGGCAAAGTTGCGGGCCACCTGCTCCTTCTGGTCAAAGTCCGTGGAGACCTCAAAGTTCCGCAATCTCTTGCTAAAACGAGCATTCCGCGCCAGCTTGCCATGCTGGACGGGTCGTACACGCGTTTCCAGTTGCACATCCTGGCCGGTGGCCCTCCTCGCACTGTAGCGCACCAGGAATCCCTTGTACTGATCCCGATGGAGATAGTGCGTCAGCTCCAGCAACTCCAGCGGATCGACCCTGGACTGATGGCCAGCCAGCCGCATAAGGCTGTCGCCCACCGATCTGGTGAGGTCGTCTGCAGCTCCGTGCATATCCTCGTGATGGTAGAGGGACTGCCAGTAGCCATGAAGGTTCAGATATTCGCTGGTATACGGCCCATACAGCCACTCCTCCAGCTGCAGGAGCACTGCCTGGTTGATGATCGGCTCGAATTTGCGGGCAAAGAAGAGAGACTTTTGTTCCGTGGCCAGCAGCCGGGGCCAGTCGTCGGGCACAAAGTCGTTGGGGCTGCAGCCGCACCAGTCCACCACGTGCTTGTACTGGCACTTGCATCCCTGCTTGCGCTTCCAGTTGGTCACATGGAGATTGTTGTCCACATACGTGTGACAGTGGTGGGTGTTCCGCAGGACCGTGTGGAAGAATGACTCAGCTGGGAGCAGCGTGTGTCGGAATAGCTTTAAAAGCGCTTGCAGCAGCTCATCCTCCTGCTTGGGATGCGTCACGTAAGCCACAAAGGGCCGCGAGAGGGCTACCCAATCACTGCCTCCATCCACCTGAATGCCGGCGGGCAGCCTGCGATCTCCGATCCTCCACATGTGCGTGTCACACTCCACAAACGTTCGGTCCAGTCCCTGCTTCTGGATGAACTTTTGCGTCTCTCGGCCATGACCCTTCACAAAGTTCCATCCACGATTGGCACTCAGGAAATCCACCAGCTTGTCCAGCGTCTTCACGGGGAAATCGCTCTCGCTGAGATTGATCACAAAATCCCATTGCCACTTGGACTTGAGCAGATCCTGCATGCACTGGAGCAGCATGGTCAGCAGCGAGGCGCCGCCCCAGATGGTGGAGAATCGTTTGCGGGCCAAACGGATGTTGGGGAACTTCTGCTCCAGCTCTAGCAGTTTGCGGTACAGATAATCTTGTCGCTAAAAAGAAAATCCCCAACCCACCAGCTATTAATTTCATAACTATTGAGGCCAGCCTTCAGCTGTAGCAGCAACAACAACGAATTTCCAGCGTTAAATTGTGCAAATTGGCAGAATTAATTGCTGGAATCCGGTCATTGACTTTCGAGTTCACACTCACCGCGTCCACATGTATGTAGTAGACATGCTCGGGCGCATACAGAGCTTTCAGCAGTCGATGCACCTGACGCAGCGCCCTGCCATTGATCGTCAGCAGAAATGCAATCCGCACACGCTTGGCCCCCGTCGGTGGGGTACTCGCCGCCAGCTGGGCAGTGAATTCTGCAAGAGATTGGGCAGCTTAGTGCCGCATACCATCATCAATCGGTTGTGTACTCACTGGAAATGCCCGTTTCGTAGATGTTCATCGCATAGAAGCCGCCGCAAATCTCCTTGGCATTGCCCAGACACTTGATGTTGCAACTGGAGTCGGGCAGCTTGGCCGCCTTGGGCGGCGGATCGAAGCCGCAGAAGCATTCGCGACCATACTGCACACCGGCATAGGGATAGCCGCTCTGCAGACATAGCTCCACGCAGGCATTGGGGGAATTGGAGCTCTTGAAGCTGGTGTAGTAGCCGCCGAGCAGGCGGCGATCCTTCTCGTCTCGATAGCAACCGAGGGATACGTTGGCCGTATGGTTGCCCGAAGGGCAGCTGCTCTTCAGCTGGATGGCATAGAAGCGGCCCGCCTGTATGGAGCAGGCGATCTGTGCGATATGTTGGCGACAGTCTTTCGTTTTGGCGCGCTGCAGCGCCGATATTGCTTCCTTGGATTGGATATCACATTCGGGCTGGAAGCCCAGTTGATTGGCGCTCAGCCTGGCAGGACGTGGCAGGCTCTCTGGCGGCTCTGCTCTCACCGGATCCGAGGCCACATCACGCTGGTTGCGCTGCGCAAGATCCACATCCAGGCCGGAGCCGCTGCCACCGACAATGTCCACGGACTTGTAGGCCAGGAACAGTTGGATGCCAATGATCAGAAGTAGGATGAAGAAAAAGGCGCGATATCGTCGCAGCCAGCGTGCGGACACCGATTGCTCCATGACTACTGAAGTCGTCTCCTGCTGTCCCTTCGCGTGGTGTCTTGCAGGTTGTGTGCGTTGCTATTTCTTTGCGCTTGACTGTGGCCACGATGTGGCGGCATGATACACTGCTTATTGCTGGACGTTGTTGCATTTGGATATGTACATTTGACTTAATAATTGCATTTTTTTCCTTAATTTATAAAAAAACACTCCCCCGCAGCCCGCTAACCAACCTGTAATCCAGTGTGACCGTTGATATATCAAATATACCGACTGATCCAAGGTGCAGTTAATTATAAGGTGACGTCTGCACCTCATCTGCTTTTTTTCGAGTACCATCCGTGTGTCATGAAAACACCAACAGCTTAGAAGGCGAAGCCAAGTGCAAGAAAGTCGAAAAAGTGGATGCTTCATGATGTTGCTATACAAGGTTTTGTTCCTGAGAAACGTGTTTTCTTGCCGGTGATTCTTTTTTCGACACCTTATTACTAAGCGTATCTTGGACATCAGAAATATACCATAAAATACTAAACTTTTCGTATTCTCGAAACACTTAAATTTCTTTAAACTGAATGCACACAAACTATAATTAGGAGGAATAATAAATAGAATATGGTCGATCCGAATCGTAAAATCAATCGTCTGCCCGAAAAGGATCACTTCCTGGAGGAATGCGAGGCGGAGTTCAGCTCGCGCTACACAGAAGACGATGTCGAATTTATGGCACATTGCAGCAAGCCAGTGCCCGGGCCGCCAATTGTTGAGAACTGGATGCCCGGAGGAGGCGGTGGTGGAGGATACAACAATCGATACAATGGTAATCGCAGAGGTGGCGGAGATCGTGGCTGGCACCGGCGTGAAGGCGGATATCAACACTATAACCATGACAGGGGGGGAGGATACAGAGGTTCGTGTACAGCCCAAAATTTGTTGCTCGCGTTTATATTGTATCCTTGCTCTTTCAGACAATCACAATCGCAACCGGAACAGATACGATCCATATCAGCGCAGAGATCGTGGTGGACATCATCATGGTGGTGGCGGTAGCAGAGATGGCGGCGGCGGGGGATATGAGCGCAGAGATGGTGGCGGCGGCGGGGGATATGAGCGCAGAGATGGTGGCGGCGGCGGGTATGAGCGCAGAGATGCTGCCGGCGGGGATGACCATCAAGGTGGTGGTGGCCACAAGCGTTCCTTCGATCAACGACCACCGCGCAATGACCGTGATCAGCCACCGATCAAGGTGAGACGCGACTATGGAAACTTTGTGCCTGCATCCAAGGATTAGTAATCGACTAAACTAGACTAAGTGTTCGCCTCCATGTTTGATGTTTGATCAATTATACACACATTTAATATACATATATATTTAACTCATTTTGCTTAACGACATAATGATAAAAGATACCTGTATCCTGTATGCCTCCCTCCCACACTTTACACCGCCGACTCTGATAGATCATTGGCCTCGTCTCCGGATGCTGCTCGTGCTGCCGACATGCCCACACCCATTGCACTGAGCAGATTGGACACCGGGCCTGCGCCACCCGCCTGCGATTTGTAGCTGTCCATCATGTTCTTCAGCGTATTAACATTTATATTGATGGGCTCAAAGTCCTCAATGTCATCGAAATCATCCTCATCTGCCTTGCTGGCGGCTCCTTTCTGTCCCTGGAACGACTTGCCAATGGTGGTCTGTGACAATTCGCGATCCATTTTCTTCATGTACGCCTGGATGCTGCGATCGAGCGGGAAGCCGGTGCTTGAGCTGGACAATGCATCGAAATTGCGCTCGATATCGTCGTCATCCGCATAGTCACTCATCTCGGAATTGGAATCCCAGTTGTCCTCCGGGATGACAAAGTCCAGGAAGTTCCTCACGTGCGTGCTGTCGGCCTCCTCCGATTGGATCAGAGAGTTGCGGTTACAGGCCTTGCGCATCGATTGATTCTTTCTGAGCTGCGAGCCATGCGACGTGGATGCTCTTGGGTGCCGCAGCGCCGGTTCGTCATCATCAGAGTCCAGATCGAGGCCTCCATAGCCGCCGTGTTCAATGCCCTCAAAGTTGGACTGCTGATCCAGGAAATCGCTTAGCTGCTTGGTAAATTCCTCGGCGTCCATGTCGCCGTTTGGCTTGTAGAGTTTATTCGGTCCGTAGCGATCCTGGAGCAGGGCATCCAGATCGTCGGCGGTAATACTGAGCCAATCATCCTTGTCGCTTGGCAGCAGATTGTTCTGCTCATCGCGCAGCGCCACTGATGCCGTGTCGGACGGGTGCAGCATCAGCGCCAGAACCTCGGCTCCCACGCGCTTGGCGGTGCGGAAACGATCCTGATTCCCCTTGAAGTACTCCTTGGCCTTACACAGCAGCCGTATGTACTCGGCACTGCCCTCGATGTTGTCCCGGAAGTAGCCCTTGCCCTCGAGACTCCGCAGATACGCTCGCCAGGCAGGCAGATCCTCCAGCTTTTGTTCTCCTGCCCGCTGCGCTTGGGTGGCGAGTATCTCCAGGCCACACGCCAATTTCACGCCCAGAATCTGTTCCTTGTACAGCTCCGGCTGACTCACTTCGTCGGTGATCTTCCAGCCGAGTCGCCGCTCCGGCGTGTACTGGTTGTGCATCACCATGGCGTAGAGACAGCGGGTGAATCTGACATTTGTGCGGACACGCGCTGCCTCCGGTGGGAAAAACTTCATGGTTCTCAATGCCTTGATGTCCTCGTTGTCGCGATCGCAGAACGCTCTCACAGCTGACGCCACCAGCTGGGGGCGTGTCTTCAGCAGCTGTGCTGCACTGTGTGGCACCTCCACGATCTGACGATGGATGGAGTAGTGGGGCATGGCAATCAGGAACTCCTTGAGCCGCGTCTTAAGTACATTCTGCACCTCTGTCGAGCAACGATAAAGGGTGGGATTGAGACGAATGCGCTGCAAGGCGATGGGCACGGGCATGGGCTTGTCGGGATTGGTGGATGCCGAGTTTTGCAGCAGCTGGAGCGCACCGTTGACTATGTAGGCACGCTGCTCACAGGTGTCCGGAGAGGCCCAGTCGGGCAGCACATCGGCTGCCTCGATAAGCACGAATTCGCCATCGGAATCGGAGACCCGGGCAATGTATTCCCCGCGTGCCTGTGATATTTCCAACAGAAGGTACACAATGAACCACTCGTCCCCAATGTTGTCGCCGTAGTGGGTCACACCGTGCAAATGTGGCGGCAGATCCCCTGAAGAGAAAGAACATTCTGATTGATATTTGTTGCTATTTATAGAACTGAATGGGTATCGTCCCCGTCCCCTGCATACCATCTTCGTCGTCATCCGCCAAATTGGTCTCATCGTTCAGCATACGCTCCATGGGACTGCCGGTTCGCACTTGCAGCTGAAACTCATCCTTGTGCCAGATGTACGACCGCTGAATGACCAGCTCTCTGACTATCTCCATAATCTCCGTTTTGATGCGCAACAATTTCTCCTTCACCTGAAACTCATCCTTGAGATTCTCGGGCATCTTCGGGAATATATAGTACTCCACGTAGTCATCTTCGCGCACAAATTCCAAATTTCCCGGCTTCCTGTACTTGGGCGCTGGCTTTGTCTTCTTTGAAGTCATTTTTGTATCTGTTGTTGTTGCTGCTGCTGCACCTAATGCGCCTGCTGCTGCTCCTTTGTGTTGTTGTTGTGACTCAGATCGTGGGCGACGCGTGGGCCGATGGATGTGTGTATCCTTAGCGACTGCTGAGGGTGGCGCTGTCCGCTGAGCCCAGAGCAAATGCTGGCACGACGATTACCGTCTAAATAATTGATTAATTGCTGCCAATTATTTTCGGGATGCCCTTGTTTTTGAGCCAATTTATTTTTATTTTGTGCAATGCAGAGTTATCGATAAAACATACCGACAGAGTCTCGGAAATATACCGAAGTATACGCTTTCATTTTCAAGATATACTGTAAATATACCCTAACTCTAAAACTATTTTCCTCAACTTTGATCTTCTGTTTAATATTACTAGATAGTTATGACCCTCAGTTTTAAAACTATAATTTTACTCGAATCATCATGCAACTCTCTACAGGACTGGCTAGTATAAAGCACTACCGTTTTTCGATTGTTTACAAAATGAGATTCAAACTAAGAAGGCCAACAAACAATTTTACTTGTACGCGATCGAAACTTCTCCACCTCCAGCAGCCACTCACAGGCTGCGTGCACCCGATTCCAGTCTATCGTTTAAGCAGTGCTATTGAGGCTTTGGCGGTAACATTTGAATTTGTGATTGCTTGGTTTTAGGCAAGATTAAGTGTTTTCATAGAAATTTAAGCAAATATTTGCAAGCAAATATATTCCAAGTGCCCTATATTCGATTTCACCTAGCCCTTCTCTGTTTCTGAACCAATTATAGTATTATTTACCCACTAAACACACACAGAGTGGGATTCACTTTTGTTGTTGTGGTAAATATGGATCATTTACTCATCGTTGCGGCATGCCAGTACCAGTTGTCGTTGTTGTTGCCGTGATTGGTACTTTGCCCAACTTCTATGAACTTTCGAAAGTTGATAGGCAAACAAAAGACACAAAACAACAGATCGAATCGCAGTAGATATAAAGAAGTCACCTCTCTCCTCTGCTGTGTGCTATCTGAAGACCAGCTATTTCAGTGTTCCTCTTTTATTGCTGCCACTTTGTGCGCTATCTGCACAGACAACCCGAGAGACTCATAGGAGCTAGACCATTGAAGCACACGTGAAAAAATAAAGCCAGAAGAAAAACGTCATCATGTTCCACAGAAAATTCCTTTTGGGATTGGTAAGAATCATTTCCAACTTCCATGCAAAGGTTTGCTAATTAGATTTATACCCTTTTTCCTGCAGCTGCTGCTCAATCTTGCAGCTGTGCTGATGGCTGCCACCGTGGTAACCACGCGACGCATTCAACCACGGGAGGCCAACTCCTGCGAGGGCCGACAGTCGGCTGGACCCATCTGCGAGTCGTGCGAGCTGCTGGCCACCTGTGTCCGCCATTCGAATGGCTGGGTAAACATTCCCGTGGAGTCGTGTGATGTGGCCAATGGCTACTACTGCAATGCCCGGCAAGGCAGCTGCACCAACGACACGGGTCCCTGCCATCCGTTTGGCATCGAGGGCAACTTTCAATGCACCTCGCAGGGCATCTTTCCCGATCCCTACGACTGCCAGAAGTATCACATGTGCTACTTTGTGGGTGCCACACTGGTGGCCGCTGCCGTTGACTGTGGCAATGACAAAGCCTTCGATGCCAGCACAGGGCAGTGCACGCTCACGCTCCAGGATCCCGTGTGCCTGCAAAGCCAGTTCCATTGTCCCCATGCTGGATACGTGGCTCCATGGCCCACCAACTCGAACATCTTCTACGTTTGCAAGTCGACGGTGAATCAGAATCTGAACGACACAACCGTCATCTATCCCTCGCTACATCGCTGCAACGATGGCGAAATCTTTGTGGATTTTGTCTGCCGCGCGAGCAGCAATATTTTGCCGCAGTTTCCCTCGCAGCCAGAGACGCCCGTGGATCCCAATGACAATGAGTTCTCGGTGATGCCCAGCACCTGCCAGCATGTTGGTCTCTTTGGGGACATGGATGACTGCCACAAGTATTACTATTGCTCGGCCTTGAATGGTACCCTGCGGCACATGCAGTGTCCAGATGGCACCTACTACCGCCCGGAGCAATCCTCCTGCGTTTTGGGCACATGCTGAGGTTCCTTTTATTACATTTTGTATTTGCCCGTGAAGATAAATAAATTATCTAAGTGTAAACTCAAGTCACATGCTGAATGTCGCTGAAGCCAAGGTCGTGTTGGGGTCTCTTGAACTGAAGAAAATTAGAATGTTCCTCGAGGTTTATCTTTTTTCAATTAAGTGTAAAACATTCTCCCAGCTGCTGCTTTAATCAGGCGCTATATAAGACCTTGCGAAATGAATCCTCCACCACAGTCTTCAAGATGGCTCCAACTATTCAATTGCTTTTGCTGCTTGTGTTACAGTGCCTGGTGGGCGCTTTGGCAGTGAATCCTTTCGATGTGGGTGCTCGAGCAGCGTCCAATCCCTGCCAGGATGTGCGTGTGGCCGGCTTTATTTGTGTGGATTGCTCCACATTGGGCTACTGCCTGCACGATGGCAACGGGCAGTGGGAGACACAAACGATGATGACGTGCCAGTCGGATCACAGTTTCTACTGCACGGACGAGGGCACCTTTGGCTGCACCTGGCAGTCCAAGTGCCGTGTTCCAGTGCGTGGCAAGTTCTACTGCCAGCAGCCGGGCATGTTCCCGGATCCCTACGACTGCCGCAACTACCACGAGTGCAGCACCCAGAATGTGGATACCCCGCGGCAGTGTGCGAATGGAGCTGCCTACTCCACCCTCACCGACAGTTGCACCCTGCCCAAGGACAGTGACCAGTGCTCGGCCGTCCAGTATACCTGCAGTCGTGCTGGGCAGACGGGTGCATGGCCGGCGGACAGTCGTTTCTATTACATTTGCCAAAAGGATGCGGCTGCCGCGGATAATACCTTCTTCCCCCTGCTGATGCGTTGCTCCGAGGGATATGTCTTCAACGGTTACAGCTGTGTGACGCCAACCAAGAGGTTGGCATCCTCGCGAATGCTGGGGTCCAGATCCTGCACTAATTATGCCATCTCCACGTGCCCTGGCGCCACGGCCAGCGATGAGTACTGCCTGTGCATCGATGGTGCACTTCAGACACAAAATTGCCCCGACGGCTCTTACTTTGATGCCCAGCGATTGGTTTGCCATCAGGGCACCCTAGTAGATTCCTCAAATTCGGGCTCCACCCCAGGCGGCAGCTGTCAGCGCGTGGGAATGGTTGGCGATTTGGCCAACTGCTCGACATACCATCACTGCGATGCCGTGGGGGCAACAATGAAGCAATCCCAGTGCCCCGCTGGTACGATTTTCAGTCTAACGAAATTTGTCTGCGAGGCAGGAAGTTGTTGAACAAACAAAAAGATTTACTCTCCCAAAATAACATTCTTAAGCATAAATAAATTGCAGCAGCAACAGCAATCGATTAGTCATGAAATTTCGATGATTAATCATCGCATTCCTTTACCACTGGATGCAGGACAATGGAGGCACCATTGCAGCCAGTTCGATCCGATATAAAGTCATGGAAATTACTCTCCAGCGCCCACATGAAACGCTTGTGGCCGGGCAGCACTTGGGTGGACAGACGGCAATCGCCGCCGCGTTGCACCTCCTGCAGATTGGAGGCCTTGAAGCACGTCTCCGAGTCCCACAGATAAATGTCATTCTCCCCCTTGTAGCGGAAGAACAGCGATGTGCCACCATCGGCGCCCAGAAGCACTGCCTGCTTGCCATAGGGCTTGGGTCCCACATCAATGATGGAGCCCGCACCCTGACCCACACGCAAGTACTCGCCCTTGATCGAGTAGAGGCGCGAAGAGCTCAGATAGCTGAAGAACAGCGTGGAGGTGCCATCCGCCTTGGAGGTGAGTGCCACATACAACACATCGCTGGTGGGCGCCGTTGCCTTTGGCAGCACAATGCGATACGATTTCTTGCCCGTGATGTCATACACGAGAATGCTGCGAGCACCAGCATCGGCCACATAGCTATACAATAATTTGAGTACAGGATAACAGGGCATGTCCATGATAAAGATAAACTGTAGACTTACACAAATGGTTTGTTATCCTTTGAATAATCCACGACGATGAACTGCAAACGACTCTCGGCGGTCACCAGATCACTCAGATCGATGCTCTTGACTACCTTGTGGTTGGCTGTGTTGATGGCTACAATTTTGGGGCCACAGCGACGGATTGGTTGCTCCAGCGTATTGACAATGCCCACATCCAGTGTCCAGAGCAGACCCTGCAAAACAGACATCAAAATATTTCCTTAACCTTAATGCATGTTTGCGTATTAATTGAAATGCCATCCGCCCATCGCCCAACGCTGAATGACAATCAAATGAATGTCTCTGTGGAAAACATTGAATTGAATTTGGGAAAATTGTGACTATTGTCTGCCAGTTATTGCTAGTCTTATTGTTCATATTTACATCTCCACTCCGCTCCTCTCTGTTGTTATTTTTGTTGTTGTTTGCTTTCAATTGTTGTGCTGCTGTTGTGACTTTTGTGTAAATAAAATATTGTAATATTTTGCATAAACGCATTGCAATTCTGTGGATGGCATTTAAATGAGGATAGGAATTTACATGGGAAATGGCTAGACTAGCTGAGGAAATACCCTGTAAAAGGGGAACTAAGGAAAGTTTCAGAATACGAAATGGAGTTCAACAGCCTTGGAAAGGCAGTGTCTCTCTGGCAGCCATAAGCTGTAAAAATATGGCACAGAAAACCACATGAAACTACACAATATGAGCATGGAAAAACCTATGCAAGTAGATCTACAGATCCTATATAATCCTAACTACATTTAAAGCAGAATTTAAACCCTGAAATTTCAAGGGTATACCCCAATCAATACATCCTCTTCTGTCTCTTTTCCCCTTCATGTCATAATTTAAACATTTAAAATGTCAAAAAAATAGCACTACAAATTTAAAGCCAGCAGCAGCCACAGCCACAGCAATAGCAAAAGCAGATTGTTGTTAATTGAAATCGCAAAAAAGAGCTTTGGCCAAATGGCTGATCAAAATGGCAGGCGCGTGGCATTGGCCCTGGCCCTGACACTGGCGCTGGCATAACGCTTCAAAAATTAATTCCCACAACTTTTTTTTGCATTGCATTTACATGGTGCTTCAGCTGCAGTTGCACTTTGCACTTCGCACTTCAAAGTTTTACATGTCAGGGTGGACAGGGACAGGGACAGGGACAGGGACAGAACGGGTCTTTTGTCGCCTTTTATAATATTCCATTTACATTGCAGTTCCATTTTTTATCGCGCGGCTCTTGTCACTCGCTGTTCCGTTCCGTTCCGTTTCGTTTTCTTTCTTTTGCGGGAGGGGACTTTTTCGACACCGATTGCCAGACATGAATTTTATTTGAAGCTTTTCGTGTTGTCGACCCGTTTATTTGATTAAAACGCAATTTGCGCTGAAGAGAAGCGTTAAAAAATAAGCGATTTTAAGGCGGAATATGGCGCTGAAAGCGTACCCTGTAGGTTCACCCTTGTTGTTATTATTCTAGAATTATTTTGGCATTTATCAAAGCAGAAATATATGGAAGATTCTTGCTCAAAGTATTAACTTCTGCTGCCAACAGATGTAACCTTTAGTACCCTTTCATTTCACGCACCAAAAAATGCATGAAAATACGCATTTTTAAAGCCATCATCAAAGAGGCGCGGCAAAGTGTCAACGCGGCAATGTAGAATTAATGAAACAAATTGCAGTTTTGGCCGAGAGACAGAGTACTGCTTTTCAGTGTCCCCTCAGTGACACCCCCCACCCACACCTGCAATGGAAATGGAACAATGTCAAAGTTAATTGCACTCACATTCTGATCGACAGCCACATCCACAACGGACTGCAGCGCCTGGCAGTTGCCCTCCTCCTGTATGGCCCAGCATGGATAGGGTGCAATTTTGGTAAGGCATTCGCCCTTCTTCAGATTCACCTTGCCCAGCGTGAAGGGCACACCCTGTTTGTAGCGTGGCAGTGCCACAAATGCCGTGTCCCTTTGCAGCTGGGCACGCGTCACAATCACATTGCGGGGCACATAGCGACCGGATTGCACGTAGATGTTCTTGGTGGAGTCACAGGGCCAGTGCAGATTGCTGCCACTCAGCTGAAAGGTGAGCTCCGCCAGCGGATTCTTGTCACATTTGCTGGTGCCAATCGAGTTGGAGGCACTGCCGCCGGAGGACTCATCACCGCCAGAGGAACTATAGCCGGCATGCACCAGCGAGCAGAGGAGTGTGGACACCACCAGCAGTAGGTGGGGCAGCTTGGAGGCCATTTCAATGATCGGTTAACACGTTTGGAGCCCCGCTTTTGTCCAAGTCACAATGAAGATGAAAAACTGTCTGTCTGAAGAGGGGCTGCTGCAGTCTGCTTTTAAATATAAATGCTGCACATTTGCACATGCATTCGTTCGTGTGTGTGTGTGTGTGTGTTGGTGCGTGTTCTGTGGCAAGGCCGTTTGGCTGCCGTTTGGTAAACATGAGGGGAAACATGTGTCTGCACGTCTGTCTCGGCATTATATGCCGGAAATTGAATAGACCACACATGCACATAGAACCTAGCAACACTCTCTTCCCCGCCCTTTACACGCTCTGTTTCTATGCAATGCGGAAATATTCGCTTTGGTTTCCACCTTCAAAATGTGTTGAACATTATGTCTGGCTTTGCGCTCTGCCCATCGATCATTTATGCACTTTACGCTGCCTGTTCCCTGCAGCCCTCTCTTCTTTAAAGTTCAAAGTTCATGTCGAAATGTCGAAAGTTTTGCCACCAAAATGCTGTGTCTGTGACCTGCATCTTTGCAACGAGACAGTTTCGATTTGTTCGAAGCTGACAAAAACATCTGTTGGGTCTGCTCTGTTCGGAGTATGACTGCAGTTATCAGTTGAGAAAGAGATAGAGCACGACTTGTTGAGACTTGTTTCTGTGATAAGATTTCCCAAGAATCGGAATTGGAATCACAGAAGGCACAGAATCAATGAAGTGGCAGAAAGTGAATCAATGGAAATGTATGAATCGCACGCACACAACAAAAATGAAGCTGCAAGTGATTGACATTCCACCATTGACGCACGTGGCGGCACAGATGCAGGAGCATTAGCCCTGCCACCACCCACATATCCACAGATCTATCTGCAGTCCTTTCGGTTGCATTCATCTGCTCAATTCCACCTTGGCAAAATTGATAAAAAAATCTGCCGGATATTGATTCCATTGCGCTGCTGCTATTTTAAGATACATTTTATCTCGAGTTCAGTTTGGAGATTCGACTTTGAAATACATCTCAATGTTGCCTGTTTTCAAGTTGGGGGTATAGCTCAGGGGTAGAGCATTCGACTGCAGATCGAGAGGTCCCCGGTTCAAATCCGGTTGCCCCCTAAGAACACAACTTTTTTGTGCACACTTATTTTGCTTTCATGGCACCCATTAAAGGTGTCCATTCCGCCTGGGACAATGACCTTATGCTGCGCGTAAAGCATAGACGTGGTCATTTCATTCAGTGAACCATCCCCAACCTCCCTCCCACGCATCAAATAATAGCAAATAAAACGCGTTGACATATTCGGGGAGCGGGCGGGCTCCTTTCTCGCTGGAGGGCACCCATTGTTCATCCCACGCCTTTGTCTGTGCCTCGTGGAGTGGCACCAGCACGTGCATTGAATTATGGACCTGCCCCTCCATTAAATCCTGCACACAAAACTTTAATCTTCGACAAAAAACCAGAGTGTCCAGCGGCCGTCCGTCGACTGGTCAATTTTCTCATAAACGAAAGAAAAACAAAACTGTTGAACCCTTTTTCGGAGAGGTCAAAGTTGGGGCTTCCGCATCGATGGAACAGAGAGACAGACGGAGGTATAGAGAGAGGGAGATATGCTGTCTCGGCTGCTGCCCATAATTCCAAATTACATGCAGATTGAATTTGTGTGAAATTCATTTTAATAAACTGCCATAAGTTGCCACAGCCACTGATACTGCCTGTGCTCTTCTGTTTCCTTAGATGGTCATTGCCAAAATGTGTAGCAGACTCCTTCTGCAGCACATGTGTGGCTGACTGGCTGGCTATGTGGGTGGCTTGTCTGCCAATCTGTCGGACAGTCTCTGGCGGACTCTTTCTGCCGAAGCTGAAGCCTGTGCTGTAGATAAATATTTATGCGTTTCAATATAAATAACACCAATAAGATAGAAAAAAATTTAAAATTAAATGAATGGAAAAGAGGCAACGCGATAAATACACTATAGAGCATAGAGAGAACAAAATATTTGGGCTCCAACAAAATAATCACCAAAATGTCATCCCATAAATCGAAGCACAAGGACTGATTATAATTATTAGATCAAGGAATCATCTTATGTTTTCCATAACATAACATAACGTAAATAATATAGAAATCTCTGAAAAATACAAGTCTAAAATCAAAGTTATAAGTTAATAAAAAATCATTTGCCTTCGAGAGAAGTGTATTCCCGCGTCCTAAATTCCCCAAACAGACAGCCAAAATGCAGTCCATACACTCGTAAAATGTTATTCTACTCTTTGTATTTGACAGCTGCGTAAATATAAATAACACGAATGTTTTAAATGTTGCCTTTGTAGAGCAGAGCATTTGTGGAGCTCATAAATACGAGGCACAATATTAATAAGCATTCAATATGCATGAATGATGGGCATACGATCGATAAACCCATAAATGCACTCGCGTCCGCCAAAACTTCAATGCAAATAATTTCAACTAACCAAAGAACTGGAAAAGGGCTTAAATTATGGCAATTTATGGAACAAATTGAATGGCGAAGGAAAGACACTTTAAGCTGAAGTCAGCCCAAAACCCAAAGAGTGTCAGTGAAAGAAAATTGATTAGATGTGCGGATTTATACCCCTCTACATTTTATGCCTTTTTAATGCACTGCAAACTAAAACTTTAAGTCGGCTGCTTCATCTACATATTCGCTGATTAATGAGGGTCCATGTCTGGGAGATCTGCCTAGAACTTTTTCTTAAACTTCATGAAAGTTTTGCCAATGCCAATTTCTTCTAATTCTGGTATACCCCCTCAAAATATCTTATAAACTTTCGTGTGGTCGTAATTTATGTGATTTTGTCGCCTAAATCGCTTGACTTTGCATAAATAATCGTAAAATTAAAAAAAAGTCGCGGCCCATTTACCAAAGAAATTCAAACGTGACCACAGACAACATTTGTTGTTCTTTTTTAGTTGGGACTTCGTACTCCGCTTTGTGGTAGGTATTAAGGGTATGTTGTGTTTGGGACTAGACACGTGACAGGCAGGGTTATAAGCAAAGTTATGTTTATGATTGAAATTTATTTTTCCATAGAAAGTATTGGTTCTAGGAGGTGTTTAAATGAAAATAATATGTCCAATAAATATATTTTTAACTTTTTTATATATTCTTTTCCATTTTTGGTTTTAAATTTCACCTCTAATTTTTCCAAATTTTGTTCTCCGTATAAGAGGATTTTATGCAAAAATTATTTGCCAAAAGCTGAGGTAGCACATTGTCTGCATAGAATTATTCTTTATTTTCTTACATTTCTCTTATTTTTGTAGCCACTGCCAGAGGCAAAGAAAACAAAAGCCGGACAAATTATTGACTTATTTGCGTTTTCAATTGGAATTAAACGAGCATTGGCATATATAAAAGGTTCATCCATCGACTGCTGGTGAGAGTGAGAGGAGAAGAGAGAGTTTTAAAGAAGCAAACGTCAACGTTTGCATAAATCCAGCTCTTATTTGCTCCCACTCCCGCTCTCTGTCCACTCTCCCACTCTCACATGGCTCATACGGCTCGTTAAGCCGGCAATAAAAAGACCTGTCAATGGAAAATGTGGCCTAAAGGTGGGAAATGGTAGTAGGCAGGGTGCTGGGTGGGTGGCTAATGGGGGTCAGTGGTAGAGGCTATCTCTTATCGACTCAGAGCCCCCCACTGTGTGGTTTACATAAATTATGTGTCAGATGAGCGGCCATCCCGGAAATGCTTGTCATCAATTCTTTTTTTTTTTTTCTTCCTTTCTTGCGGGAGGCTCCATATGGAGCCATGTGGGGGGGAGGATGCTGACTGCTTGCTGCTGCTGCTGGCATATAAATCATTGAGCTATTGTGCTGGGAATGTGCGGGTCTTTGGCTGACAATTTGACATGCCAAACACGTTGGAGTCATGGGCATGTCTGTGTGGCATGGCATGATTCCGGGTTGAATGGTTCAATGGCTAAGAGAGAGAGAAAGAGCTTAAACCCTATTCAAGCGGTAATTACGTGTAAGGCAGGACAGTAAGGACCACACTCCACTTCACAATCAAAGCCTGCAGCTTGGCAAATTACAGCTCGTTAAATCACAGCGTCTGAGGCTAAAGATTGCATGTGCACATAATCAATTAGCTAAAAATACCGCCAGCAATCAGCAGACATCAGACGATGACACTTGTGGGGCTTTGCGCGGGCCATCAAATAGTAATTGCAATCACTTCATTGGCTGCCCTCCCCCGTCGCACGGACATTCTCCCTCCTTGAAGGACGTGCTCTTGGTGCAAAGTTTCCCCCGCGTAAACTATTTCAATTATTTCGAACAATATAAACAGAGAATCACTTTGCCACTTTGATTTTTTTCCACTTGCGCATTGAGTCAACTTTTTGGCCAAGGTTCTTCAATGTTTTCTTTTACTTTTGAAACCGAGAATCGGTGGCCAAGCACGTTGCACATTGGCCTGCAACGTTTCTGGTGCGAACTCTATGGTTATAAAAGCACGCCACTTAATTGTGTCTCAGAGCATAGTCGCGCTAGCAGTCTCTCTACCCATAGCCCCAGCATCACAAAATGCCATTCAAGATGAGGCTCCCCTTGGCGGCACTCCTCGTCCTTTTTGCCGCAGATCTGTGCCAGTCGCAGGGTACAAAGTACGGTCTGTGGACCCCAGATCGTGCTCATTCCGATGCCCAGCCTATTCAGTGGACGGGCGGACAGTTTGAGTTCCCCTGCGCCAGCACCAAGTCGCTGTTCAAGAGCTCGGGCAAGTACATCTCCAAGAATGTGATTGCCACACGGGCACAGCTCATTGGGGACACCATTTATCTGGCGCTGCCACGCTACAGGAAGGGTGTGCCCGCAACTCTGGTCAAGACGAGCGTAAAGCCGGGCACCTGCTCGACGACATTTAAGCCCTATCCCTGCTGGGATCTCCAGGAGGAGGGCAACTGCAAGGCGCTTCAATCAGTAGTGGATCTGGTGGTGGATCAGAATGAGGTGCTCTGGGTCCTGGACACGGGCATTGTCAACACCCTCGAAACCCCAGTGAGAAAGTGCCCGCCTAAAGTGGTGGCCATGTCCGTAAAGACCGGAAAAGTGCTGAAAACCGTCTCCCTGGAGGGCCTCACATCGAGCAGCTCTCGCCTGCAGTATCTGGTGGTGGACTATGCCCCGGATGGTGGCTGCTTTGTGTATGTTAGCGATGCCGCCAATCGTGCCATTATCGTGTACAATCTGCAAGCGGATCGCGGCTTTCGTGTGGTGCTGCCCAAGGCAGTCTCTGCCGGCTGTCGCTCCAGGGATGTCCTCTACATTGCCCTCATACGCAGGGATTGCGGCACCACCGAGCTGTACTTTACGTACTTGAGCACCAGCAAGTTGTTCTCGCTGAAATCTGAATATCTACGCAGTGGCGTGGCTGATGGACGCATCTTGGGTGAGTCTTGACAGCTTTCTATTCCTCTCTGACAATCCTCTAATAATCCATCTATTCTTTTGCGTAGATCTTGGCAAGAAACCCACTCGCATGGTCATTATTGGCACCGACAATGGCTCTGCCATATTCTTCCGCAATGAAGGCGATGCCGAGGTTTATCGCTGGGACACAAATTCCACCTTTGCAGAGGCCAATTTTAAGCCCGTTTACCGTAGTCAAACGTGTCAGCTGGTGACCCATGCTGTGCCCGATTACAAACGGAATACGATGCGTGTTTTGCAGAGCAATTTCCCCGATTATATGCAGAATCGTGTTGGTTGTGGTGCCATACAGCAATTGGGTCTCATGCAGGGTTGTTGGTAGTCCCACTATAGACACCGATGCGACAAACACACAGTTACACTTACACACCCATACACACTAGTACACACACATGGAACCCCACTCTGAATTTAGTTCCTTTTGGCTTTATAGAGTAAAGCCACCTGGAAATGGCAGTTTGGCTTCGAGAATTGCACGAGAAGGAGAAAGAGAGCTTTGCAGTCCTCTTTGTTTGGCCTCTTGAATGCAATTCTTTATTTTTGTACATAAACCAATCGACTTTTGTTCGCTGTTGTTATCTATGTTAAGCAAATAAACATTTTATTGCTCTTTAAAAACACAGAGAGAGAGAGAGAAAGTAAATAAATATCCATTATTTGCCTTACCCATTGCTGCTATTTCGGGTCTGCAGTTCATTCAACTTTTGTGTAGACATTAGCTACAGTTTCAGTTTCAGTTACAGTTTGGCTTAAGCTTGAGCTTCGGTTCGATTGACCATGGAATACGACACTCGTACGCGTGGAGGTCAATACTCGTGAAAATGTAATTAGCTTGCGGCAATATTTCGCTTAGGCAAAGGCTTTTAAATACTCAAAGTTTGAAGTCGAAATAAAAGAGAATTTTGATGGAAAGAAGAAATGCTATAAAACAACAACTGAATCAAGTTTTAGGGGATTGAAGATGAAAGATTCATATTTAAAGAGGTTTTTTAATTAATTAAGTGAATTCCGAATAGATTTGTATCTGTATCATGGTCCATAACTTGATCAAAATTATCAAGAATTCACCAAGAAGCAGCTGCTTAGCCATGGATACTTCCCTTATCATACAAGTAGATACTTTCTCCTCTAATAAGAGTCCATTACTTGACCTATAACATTTCTTTTACTTAAATTCCCTTGAAAAACGTCTGATATTTCCATAATTTCCTTCACTTTCAGAAGTCGAAAATCACTGAAATGAATAATGTTAATTGGTTGCCCTTACATTGGATGCTTGCTCTGTCATCAGGTACAATGCCAAACAAATTTCCAATCTCCGAGCACTCTGCACTCGCTGGCGGATTGTTTCACTGATTGCATTGCTCCATTTTCCATATCGTTTTGCCCGGTATGGAAACTTACCTCCACTGCTGCCATTTACGTCCACCATTCATTCATTGCTTGGGAAGCTGTGCAATGAAGTTGGCAAAGTAATTGCCCCAGAGATGCGAGAGTGCAACTTTAACGCTTTTCACTAATTGGGAAGTTGGCTGATAAATCGCCCGACACGGGCTCGAACACGGCGGCTGTCTGTGGAGGAGGAGCTCCCACCATCCACCCACCGAACTGAGCGTTGCATTGGCTTCCGTTTCACTTTGGGGAAACAGCCGTAAGGCGTCGATGGAGTTTTTTCTCAATAAAAAATATCAATTAATCAGCAGCTCTTGTCTCCCCTTCGCGCTCTCTTTCGTCCGCTTTGTGCGACCTTTGCCCTTTGGATTTCGTTACGGCTTCGTGGCGTGTTAATTACGCCCACTAGCGCATCCGGGCCACAGTTTTGCAACGCATTTTTCGCACTCATCGAGCGAAGTGGTGTTGTGGGGGGTCCAAAGGTCTCACCCAAGTGGCCAGACAGCGCCAACAGGGCATACTGGAAGAACTTCATTTGCTGCTCCAAAAATAAATATCACATACTAAAAGTAGAAATTTTGTTGATAGATGTGAAATTTCGAATATGGGATACCCGCTATTGGCAAATGGGAATTATTTCAATGATAATATCAGAAAGTATTTATTTTTAGAACATTTACAGCTCCATTATTCCCAGAGTTTTAGTATTACACTCATTAAAATCATCGTTCCTATAACTGTTGCATGCATTCCACGAACAGAATACACCCTTCAAGCCTCCAAATACCAGTGGGGTATATAGATAGAGCCCCTGCCAATCCCCTCCCCAACTATGGACTGCCTCCCTCGCTGGGACTGAAACCAGCTGGCGTTGCTGGTGTCACACCAGCAACAAAATCTACGATAAACTTGTCTCTCCCTTGATTTACAAACACAGAACAGCGTGGGCGTGGCAGTCGAAAAAGAGCCCAAAAAAGTTTTCATCAAAAAAGGCGAAAAAAGCGACAACCGGTCAAAACAGCAGAAAAAAAAAGTAAATATATTTCGATTACAGCTGCTAAAAAAAAGAGCTGCAGAAAGAGAAAAAATAAATCAATAAAAACAAAAATTTATATTTTGCTTAATTAGGTCTCCAGTAAAAAGAGCGCAGAAGGGGAAAATATTATTTCGAGTTTCGAGAAAAACTTTACAACTTTCTGATTGAATTAAAATGCAAAATAATTGAAAAAACGACACTCGTTTTTTGTCTTCAGAGTTCAATAAACACGAAATGCGAATAAATGCGAGTAAATGAAATATTTTTAGTTCGTAAATAAACTTCTTATAAAGTTCAATAAACAGAATGCACAGTAAATTAAAGGTACAAAAATACACAGCATTGGAAAAGTCTTTGTCACTTATAAATACTCATTGAGAGTTCAATGACAACAAATAATTGAAATGTTTATTTGTCAAATCAAGTCACCTTTAAATACCTTGTCATCAAAGTTCAACGATCACAATAAGCGCCCAAAAATGCAAAGAAAAGAAAAACTTCTTAAAGGCAAATACTCGTAAAGGCAAGTGTTTTCCCCAAAGGCTTTGCATCGCGGCTGGCTTCCCTCTTTGATGCGACACAACAGACACGACAGGCAGGCGCTCTGTCTCTGTCTCTCTCTCTCTCTCTCTCTGTGTTTTTCTGCCAGAAACGGAAAAACCAAAAGTTGCAAGCAAACGTTGGACGCCATGAACGTCAAAAAACCAGCTGGCAGAAGATGACAGCGAAAGCTGCAACCACACAGGACAACGACTACAAATGATTTTCCGCTGCACCGGGTTTTCCAGCCGCAGCAACACAAAAAAGGGAAGACACACTGTAATTAAATTAATGACAAAGGCCAAGGCCATAACTTCGGCAGAGAGAGAGAGAGAGAGAGATATGTGAAATTTCGAGCTTTTCCTGCACTTTGAGGCAAAGCATAAGGCATTTTCCTGCACTTTGAGGCAAAAGGGAATGAAATCCCTTTGGGGACTGCCCCTGAAGCTCTTTAAGCATCATTCCCATAAATATCACGACAAGTAACACAACTTAAAAAGCGATAGAAAACTCAATTGAAGTGAAAATATTTGCCCCGTCTTGTGCAACATCTTCCATCGACATTCGACTTGATGTCCAAAAGCTACTCAATCTGACAGTTGGTACACTTTTAAGGCCTTATTCCCGTGGCTAAATCAACTTCAATCCACATGAGAGATTGACAGGAGCAACATCGCGAAAGAGTACTTTCTTTTTGGCCACACGCATTCCCTTTCAATCTTCTTACAGCGAAAAGTGACTGGTGGGACGACTTGTGGGACTGTCAAAAAAACGTAGGCTGTCAGCCTCAGGTCGCCTGGCCCAACCCAAAGGAGGGACTACTGTTTGCAAGTTTATCCGTGGCTTAGATGTAGGGGCTGTTTATCCAGCAGTTAAGTGGCGGTAGGGACGACACTACACTTTGGCGCACACTTGAAATGGGTTTTGACAGCAGGGGAATGGCACCGGTACGAGAATGGGAACATTTCAGAAAATGATTTTGCTTTGATTTCTATCGTGTTTGTAAGCTGAACCAAACATTCGAAGCACCTTTCTGGTTAATCGAAAGGAATAGTAGGAGAGAGAGCTGTGCCAAATTCCAAAATTATGTGCAATTAAAATTGTTAGCAAAACGGCAGAAAGTCTTTGCAACTGCAAATAGTTATGTATTTCTCAGAAATTCAACTCTGATTTCACTTTGCGGCTCTTTACAGTCTTTGAAGCTAATGGTTTTCCAAGTCAAATATACTTCAGGCTATCTGCCATCTAAGTGCAGAAACACCTCCTCATTCCAGCACATTTCGCTGCCATTTCCATGTGAATTGGTTAGAGATTATAGCGCTCCTGGGGCTTACGCTTCTCTTGCCTGTCTGTGCTACGCTTTTTGGGGCTGTGTCCGCTGTCAAGTCAGCATATTCCACACACACACACACACACACATCCGTTTGGTCCATTCCCCCTGCCACCAGTCCCAACTCTTGGCCATTACCCGCGCTAACACGCATCTCCATTGAGAGAGCCTCGGAGCCTCGAGGCTGGACGCTTGGCCAACGGTTAGGATATTGTAGTTCTCAATGCTGCCTCTCTCTCTCTCTCTCTTTGGGCAGCTTTTATGCAAAATAGCTAACCAACTGACAGATAGATAGATACACAGCCACAGCCACACACAATATGTGGCATCGGGCATGTGGGTGTGGAAAATGTGTAATACATTTGGTTAGCAAACAGACAGAGAGACAGACAGCCACAAAAGTGACTGCCAAACGACTTCCGACTTCCGTCTTTGCGTCTTTCGGGCTTGTTTTTCAATGGGTCACGTGCAAACAAAAGGCAAAATCTTCCAATCCCCAAGCTTTGCATTTTCCCTCTGCCCCGGGCATAATCAAATTTTCCTTTTGTTAGGCTGAAAAATACTACCAGCATTCGCTACGCAAATCGATGCAATTGAAAAATAATTGAACATCTCTCGGATGTACGAATGCTTATTGAATGTCATTTCAAAATTCATGGAGCTTCAAGGATATGAGTTTATGTGTGACAGCAGCAGTGGGCGGACAGCTGGGAGGCGTCTACTAATGGGGGGTAGGGATTTTCAGCTCCTTCCAAAGGAATTTCCACATTGTCAACATTCCCCCATTCCTTTCATTCCACATTCTCTGCACGTTGCTGCCGCACCGCAGTTGGCTCTCGGGTAACAGGCAAATATTATTGATTTGTTTTTAACGGCACTAAGAGGCACATAATTGAGGGCTGCCCTTTCTCTTTACCCCCACTCATGGCGAGGAGGGGCATGGGCTGAAGAGGTGTGAGATTGAAATGTCAGATTCTTGTACGAAATGTGACATAAATTGAAGGATGATTTTTGTTGGGGTGTGGGTGGGAGAAATATTATATTATGTGTTTTCTTTTGCAGCTGGTGGAATTTTTTTGGTAGATCCGGGATATCAGGAATAAGTATGAAAACAGTGGCTTAAATGGGGATTTCATGAGCTTTTACTTTTGGATTTTAAATATGAGTATTTTTTTGCACAATTATAATAAAAAAGTGCAAAAATATCCAACATTTTCTGAATAAAATTTAAAGGAAAAATAAATATAATTTCTTAAATATCAAAACGCTATGAAAATTTTCATTTAGCACCATTTAGTTTGCCTTTAGAGTTTCATGCATAAATTACCTTTAACTAGACCATTTTTCCTCTCAAATTTAAATTCATTGTCCATCAATCTAAACAGCCTTTGCCACGGTTTTGTGTGAAAATCTCTGAAAAAAGTGGAGAAAATCCTGCCATAAATACTAGCTTAAGTTAATCAACATATGCACACAAAAGATACAGCCATAGTGATAGTAGGAGAAAGTAAATTGAAATGCAAACATAAATTTGCACAAATAAATCCTCATTTGGAGCTGTCTCTCTCTCTCTCTCTCTCTCTCTCTCTCTCTCTCTCTCGCACACACACATAAATCTCCAGGCACTTGAAAAATGCATGAAAGTAAAGACAAAATAAATAAATTCAAATCCCTCAACAAAAGATACGAGTTTTACGACCACTCGAACGGGTACTTTTAGATACATTTACACCCCTCACAACCCAAACAAAATAAACCGAAAGGGGAGGGTCTATTAAAATTCCGTTGTAGTTGGCTTAAATAAACAACAAAACCAGCAAAAAAGAAAAGGGAAAGTGAGGAAAGTTGGTTTATCATTGGATGATTTATTGCCCATGTGTACGCCCTCCCAAAAAAAAAAGGTTAAACTGCCATATGGTGGGGGTTCTATCATAAATTTGACCAGCAAAAAAAAGTTGCTGCTGCATTAATAGACTCCAAATATGAGGCAAGTGGCAGACAGACAACTTTTTGGCGCGCTGAGACCAGTAGGGGCCTCAAACCAGAGGGATTTCAGCACGGGTTTTTCATTCATAAGAATCCCGTTTCGAATGGCATCCACAGCATTTGGCTTTGCAAAGGCAAAAGACAATCCTGCACAAGGGACTCTCTCTTCTCTCGCTCTCTGATATTTCCCACTCTCTTCTTTATGCTCTCTCCTTTGCAGAATCTGCAACTTCAACAAGTCCAGCGACCAGCTGTTGCTGCCTGCCCCATATGCTCTGTGGATGCCATGCCGTGTGGATGCTGTTCTGCACCAGTTGCTTCATTCTGTTGTGGAACCCATTTGCCCGGCACGAAGCGAAACAGCTGATCGGCTCCGCCGCCGACGCCACAAAGCTGGCAACACTTTCGACAGGCGCGCAGGAAATTCCGGGCAACGAAATTGCCTCGCCTCCCATGCCCCATGCCACCTCCTCGTGGTAGCCGAAAGGCAACAGCGACAATCGTCTGCTGGCGCCGCGGCATAAGTTTTTCGCAGTTTTTCAGTTGGTTTTCCATAGCTGCTCCGCACGCACGCTTTTCTCGGAATTTTCTCGGTATTTTTCGGTCACTTGGAAACTCATTTCGTGCGTTTTGTGTGTGTGAAAGCAAAGATGCGCCCGACTGACTGACTGCCACATGCCACAAATGGATGGCAAATGCAGTTCCAAAATGTTTCCAAAATATTTGAAATAATTCTTCGATTTGATTACAAAGTTCAAGCATTTCAATGCCTTAAAAGTGATTTTGTTTTAGTCTAAACTTTGGACATCTTTTGGTGAGTGAAAATTAATTTTCTTTTGGTCAATGAACTTGGGGAATGGCCGGCAAAAGGCATTTTCTGCCCATTTTTCTTGCAATCTAACATCTGCTGCTGCTTGGCTGCTGCTGCTGCCCGTGGGAACCCAAAGTTATATTTCATTTGCGTGCCAGAGAATCAGGCAGAAAAAGGTTTATCCGATTAGCATAATGTCCATAATGGTTCTGGTTCTTCATTGGGAGCACAGCTGCTGCTGCCTAATGTTCTGCAAATTGTATCTGTGCGTAATCTTCAAGATTGATGTGGGTCCTACCTCTGCCAAGAAATAATTGTGGAACAGAAGGAACAAAGCAAAAAGTTAACAAAAGATTGAGGGTACTCTTGGCACGGTAAAACATGAATCTAATAAATTTCAAATGAGTTTAAGCACTGCTGGAGAAATGTGTAAATAACTTTGCTTTTGGTTTGCAAACCAAACATTTATGTGGGGAACACCGGAGCGCATATTGGCTGGCCAAAAGTTAATGAATAATTGAAACTATTTTCCAAATTGATATTCCACAAAGAGCCACCCTGTCAGTCATTCTACCCTTTCTCTCTGCTAAGCTCTTCTGCTCATTCATCTCTCAATTTTTTTTGGAAAAACTTTTGCAATTAATTCCAGCCAAAGAGCGTAAGCCACCCCAAGCTAAGGGTCTTTAACCAAAACTTTACAGATCTTTGCCTTGTCATACTTTTGGGATAACTTTTGGCATTCACTGTCCTTGTCTTTCGCTTGCCCATAAATTTTGTTGTTGTAGCAATTTTATGATCTATGTGGACCAACACTGAAGTGCAATCCAAGGGCCGGCAACTAGCGACTGGGGAGCACTTTCCCTCCAACACACACAGAGCATAACCTGAGAGATACAACCACAAAGAACACATCTTGTCTAAATCTATATGTTTCTGTCAATAAAAAGTGAATGGGAAAGTAGAAAGTAGATGGAAATAGAAATGAAAATGGAGAGCCACAAAAGCCAACAAGAATTATTTCGTTCGAGTCGTAAAAAGAGTGTCAGACTGTGGGGAATGTCAACAAAATTTGAATTTTCTGTGAAATTGTGAGGAAAACAAGAAAAAAAACAGCAACCATGAAGGGAAGGAAATAAACAGTAAAGTAAATCCACAATAAATGCTCAAACAAATGCGAAACAAACCAAAGAACTGGCGATATTTTTGCATTTTGTGCTCTGGGTTCCCTTTTTGGGTTTCTGTCAAAGTTTTCTTGTTTATTGTTGGCTGCCACGTTTTTTATGGGGTTACAGTAAATAAAAGAGCACTACTATAAGAAGTACATTCAAGAGAGCTCAGAAACTAAAGGGGTACGGGTGGGGGTAGTGGTTCAGGCTCTTGCCACAATGGACAAAAGCTTTAGGCCAAAAGGCAGCGTCACAATAGTCACCAGAATTGCGGTTTCGTCTAACGAAAACTTTTCTAATTATACCCTGGGTGCCCTGGACAATTCTAGAGTACATTGTAACCGTTTAAAAGTGCATACAATTTGTGAATACAAATGATGATGCCACAATGATCCAGTGAACTACAAGCAAAAGTAGGATAACAAGACTTTTTCCTATTATATTTCATAGTATTTTGTAGAGTATTTTCTCTTTTTATTGTTCCCAAAGAGCATTTTCGCTGAATTTTCAAGAACTTTTGAAGTATGCTTGTCTGGTATTTATTCTAGTATGTTTTTGTATGCATTTTTAACGGTATTTTTATGGTATATGTAATAAGAAATTTCCTAGTCTAATATGTATTTAATTTAGTAGCTGTTGCCTTTCTGTGTTTTCTTAGGTATATTCTTGTATGTCTTACATTATTTCATAGTATTTTGGCAGCACCTTTTCTGGTATGCATTTCAGCCATAAGGAATGTTTAAATATTTCACTAAATAATGGGCATCTATTCGTCGAAATACCACTCTAACATGGTACATTTATTTTCCTTTAAGCAAATTGCGCTCTCAAGCCTTTCAGCGACAAAGCACTAGGGGAAAACAAAAGTCGTCATGTCAATAAAAGAGGCAAGACAATGCATAAAGCTTGCAATTTATGAATGCCAGTGCCACTGCCACTACAACGAGTAAGAGCTGCCGGCCAGGGGGCAGGGTTAACAGCTTGCAACAATTAGAAGCATGTGCCGGGATAACTGCGCTGATGGCGCAGCGGCAATAATGTGAGTGAATTTATGTGCTTGGCCGCTGGCTTTAATTGCCAGTCGAATTGTTGACACATTTACTCGCCAGATTTTTTCCAGACCACACTATAAATTGTTGACGCCTAATGGCGAATTCTGCTGTACTTGCTGCTTATTTTCGGGGTGCTGACAAGCCCATCACTGCATGTCAGTGTCAAAAGTCAATAGCCGTAGCAATCCGCAATCCGTAATCCACAATCCCTATGACCCACTCAATTCCACGAAGAATCCTCCGACTTGAGGCAGCGCGCGGCCTACGTTGAACATCTGGGTTCGCCAGAAGACCCCGAAATAAGTTGAGCAGCTAATTAATTTTTCGTGCTGCCAGAGTCAGGCGTCCTCTCGCTTGGAGTCCCGCCGACAACTGCCAGTGCCACCAGATGAGACAGTAATTGTCCATTGTGGCTGCCACTGAATGGAAGAGTGGTTTTCCTCTCCACATGGCAACTGCCGACTGCCGACTGCCGCTGTGGCTTTTTGGCCAAGACAAACTTTCAGTTACATGTCTTTGGGTCTTGGTTTTGGGTTCAGTTTCTTTTGGTTTCGGTTTTGAGTATCATTTAAATTAATTGCCAAAAGAGTCGGCAGCAAAAAAAAAAACACACAAAATACTTGGCAAACATTTAATTTGATGAGAATTCAATTGATGCAAAAGGGACTACATGGCCTGGGTTTCCCGCTTTTTCTGCCAGTTTTTTCTCTTAATACTTAACGAATTACGCATATGCCACATGTGGCAGCCCCGCGGCATAAGAAACAGCATCATAATTCCTTATAATAATGTCACTTTTGTTTTACTTTAATTGTGGAACTGCTGCCTGCAAAAGGCAAAGTTGAGCAGTTGAATGTCACTCACATGTGCACCCAAACAAAATGAAAACCAAGCAGAACAATTTTCTGAAGTGAGGACATTTTACAGCCTGTTTGAAAAGTTTGTGCCCTGCAAAAAGTTTAGCATTTACCCCAGTAAATAATGAAAAAGAGTTCACTCCCACATTAAGTTTATATTCAAATGATTTTGGGTCCAAGGAGCAGGTCAAACATTTGGGGGTTCCCTGGGTTCCATTTTTGGCAACGATTTATGCGCATTTCCATGGGACGCACCAGCAAAAGTGAAAAGTCTGCGTCTGCCCCAAGGCCTGATAAAAAGTGTAGGCAACCAAAGGTCCTCCATTCATCAAGCATCCACCAGGCCCGAGGCAGCACGTGGTGCAGCAAGGGAAAGGTTTTGCACCAAAACACATAACTTAAGTATGGGGAATGCCTGGCCCAAGCCCTAAGGACAGATGCGGAGAAGCCCATAAGAGCAAAGGGCAATGCAGGAGCAGGGGCCTGTACCCATAAACAGATCAATATTTCATATACGAGGCCAAGCGGGTGAGCAGTTGAAATAAATCAGTGGCATGAGAGGCGGCAGGGGCAAAGGCAAAAAGGTTTGCGGGTTGTGGCTTACAGCGTATGTGCCTCTTCGAGTGCATCGACGAGTAGAGGATGCGCTGCGTAATATATGTTGCATGCAATGCATCTACAACAGAGATGCAAGGTCAAATGCAGAGTTGAGAACGAGAACCCGACAAGCCTCATCATAATCGCAAAAGTTTTCCACACACTCACAGACATCCGCTTTCATAGTTTTCCACTGGTTTTCCGCATGCATGCTGCTTGCATTTATATCTGCTGCTCTTCTCTCTCTCTCTATCTCTGCCTCGCCATTACACTGTCGGAAAAGTAGCATTTTCATAAATCTAGTCGAATATTACTCAGGAAATGCAGTAGCTCTGGTTACATGTTGCAATCTGTCAGCAGAAGGTGGCTCTTATGGGCAGGGGAAATCTCATCTCAGCCATAAATGACGATTGCATTTAAATATAATTTATGATGATGCATTCGTTCTGCGAAATAGTCAGGAGCCTTGTCTCCTTGTGGCACATCGTTTTTAATGGAATTAAGTGCTGCCTGCGTCACTGCAGCTGCCTGACAATCTTCCACATCAACAGGGATTCAATCGGAGCAGCTCGAATGTGTTTTTGGCTAAAATTCGATTAGAAATACTCGAGTCATTCGACTCGGAGCAAGCAGCGATAAATCGAATGCAATTACATTGATGAAGGATCGAGAACTATTGCCAGCCAGGACACTGAAAATCGAAACAGAATCGAAGCCAAGACCAGAGGCAAAGGTTGGGGGAGGTCTTTAAGCTCAAGTGTTTTGTTTGGCCAGCAATCGAGCAGCGAACGATGAACAAACCAGAGACAGAACAGAGACAGGACCAGAACAGAGAACAGAGAACTAAAAAACAGAACAAAAGCCAAGGGCAAGCAGCGGCAATGGACAAAAGACGCGACTGCACACACAGCCAGAGACGGGCCCTCAAAAGATTATAAAGAAAGGAACAAGCGTGTGAGAGGGGCGCGTGTGGCAGTCACAGACCAGACACAAAACTGTTGCATGAAGCTCCCACAATTTTGTGGATATATAGATATAGATATAGACATCGCATAAGTGGAATGACATATCAGCGTGGCGATGGCCCTCATTACTCGGGAAGATTTCTGTCAATTCCATGCCTCAGTCGCTATTTCTGTTGCTGTTGCTGTCGCTGCAATAAGAAAGTTACGATTCAACATTTAGCATTATGTGCCTTAAGTTTATGTCCTGTCCAGACTTTAGGACATAGCCCTAAAGTGCGCGTCCTTCGTATTGACAGGACACTTGGCACTTGTTTGAGTTATGAGTTTCTTGCCCCAAGAAAAGTTTCATGCGATTTCGAACACGTT